TGCATCTTCTTTCATCAGTTAACATGTCCTCTAGCAAATTAAATCCTAAGATAACACCAAGCAAGCTGTTCTTGAAGAGAACTGCAATTTAAACAAGAATTGTAGTTACAAGCAATATATATTCCTCCCTTTTCCTTTCGTAGTCAAATAACTTCATAGCTCATGCTTGTTTTGGCAACCTGCAAAGGTAACTACTAAAAGTGCATGTAGGAAGGCTGTTCCACCACGTGTGAACTCCCTGATAAGTTTGCACATACAGGACTATTTTTTGAGTATCAAACAAGGTTTGGTGTTTGACACTAGAGTTCATACTGAGTGTAAATTTGGTTTATATTTAAAAAAAAAACCAAAAACAAAAACCCACTCACATCTTTTGAAAATATGAGGCTGTGGATTTACTGATGGTTTTCTGGGATGTTTTTCCTGAGAGATTGACCAGGCTAAAAAGCATATGCTGTACATAGCATTTTGGACGCTATTCTAACAAAAAACACTGAGTTTTCTTCCTGCCCTATCCTTCCAGTGGATGTTACCATAATCCCCATTGTACAAAAGCCCCCACATTTATTTTGTGATTAAACCAGAAATTCAACATGGAAAACTGTTTCATTCATTTACAACTCATGTTACACTTGTGTCCTAATACACCAATCACACTTTGTATCAGTAAAAAACATCACCAAACATTAAGTTCTATACAAAGTTTTCTTTGCTTATACTACTTGCCTTAACAACATGTCTTATTGAGCCAATCACTGCAGGCTTTAGAGATTTGCATTCATTTTGCTCTTCAGAAGTACCTGCACCCCAAATATCTGGGAGTTCCAGCTCTCCTTCTTCCAGGGGAATAGAGGGACCTTCAAAATCTGGTTTCTCATAGAGTATCCAGCTTCAAATAAAAAATTCTTATTTTTAATGGTGCTTTATCAAGTGTGATTTGCAAAAATCATACTCCCATTTAACAAATCCTTTCACAAGAAGTATTATTTCCAGACCCTTCCCGCCACCCCAATACAGCTTATCCACCCAACACTGCTGATGCAAGCCATTTCTGGTCTCTGTGATACTTTAAAAGCAATATAAAAACAAAGATGCCTACTGCTGACTTTGTAATTTCATCAAAAGCTCCTCCACCTTTTTAAATTGATGATTTGGGGCAGCAAGACTACTGTCTATGAATACCAGACTTTTGCATGAGATACTAATCAGAACCAATTTGTAGGTCAGAAAATGTTGACACTGCAGACTGCTGCATCGTGTATAAACAGACAAGCTACTTGGATCCTGCGAACAGCAGCCTGGAGTTCCACAGGCGCTGGGATAGATGTGCCAAAGAATGATAAGACTGCTCAGAAGACAAGCACAACTTTATTTTTAACGGCAGGTTTGAATATATAACTAGATAAAAACTATATCCATCTGCATATACAAATCCCTCCCCTGGAGCTCTCAGTTGAAGGAGGGAAAAAAACCCCAGTACCCTAGTCCATGCTGTAAAAGACGACCTGGTTCACACACATCAACAGATTTTCATTCCAGTTTTCTGAAGCTGAACAGCAATCGGTGTGCTTCCCAGTACCTCCTACTGCAGCTAGTCCTCGTTTCTGCAGCTTACTATCAGATCATTATTTTTGAGAACCTACTATTTGACTGTATTACATAGCCTGGCCACAACTTAACTTGCCATGCTATGCACAGTAATAATGGCTGTTCTGTTAATGCTACGAAGAATGTAGGAGATGAACTTGTTTTGAATTACTCTTAGGCAATCTAGTTTTTTGAGAAAAATTCCCTCTGGACTTATCAGAGAAAGAGTCAATTATCTCTACAGCACCACCTTATACCTTTAGACATGGAATTAATCTTCTGCATCCAAACCCATGTCAGACCTGGCTTTAAAATCCTTTGCTAGCCTTTTAGCCCAATCCAAATACTATGCAAGAACCCATAAAGGGGAGAGGAGTCAAAGGGACAGAATCTGTCATTTCACCCTATGCCTATGCCTGGTGAAATGTTGCACCCCTCCAGATGGTAATACTCACTCAATTTGTCAGCAAAGTAAGTTTCCCGGCCCAGAATTTCCTATTGCCGAGGTAAAACGCCACATTTCTTGCTCATGGGTGTCTACGTTACATTGCCATTTGCAAGGCAGACTTACTGTGAATTACATACTGGTTCTGTTTCAAAAGATTTTTGGATAGACCAATGATAAAGAGCGAAAATTAATCTCTTACCATCCTCTGATGACTTTAACTAAAATTCTTGGTGACAGAACCCAAGAACTGCAATCCAGAACATCATGGAAAACTTCAATACCATTTTTTTGATAGTCTGATTCACAGTATATCACCAGCTGTGTTAAAAAAAAACCAACAACAACATATAATTCTATCTTGCTATACTTTAAATATAGAGAGGAACAGTAAAGAAAACAAAATTGATCTTACCTTGCCAGGTCTGGGATTGATTTTACTTTGCCCATTTCTTGAAAGTGCCTAACAGACAGTAGGGAGAGAAAAGTCACAAAAAACCCAAACCAAAAACTGATTTAATAAAAATGCTCAGCTATAAAAAAAGAGGTAGTGAAACAAAATAAAAATTAGTCTGAATAGTAAAAAGCTGAAAACACTTCAATTACACCTACTTACTGCTTCAATCCCTTCTTTCTCCTGAAGAGCAATATCTTGCCACAAATGTACAAGTTTACACGCTTTTTTTTTTTAAACTCTGAATTATCATCTCACTGAAGCCAACTAACCTCAGACTTGAAATGCTTTAAAATCCTTCTGATCAGCTTCCTATATATTCCAGCAGTTTCATACCAAGAGATTGCCTAAAAAACTGGCATTAATAAAGTACATGCTCTAAAATGATAAAGATATTAATGGAAGTTTAAATGTCTGGTAACCATAAAGCATGAAATAATTTTGAAGGAATATATGAAAAGACTGAGAAGGTAGGATGGCATATACGTGTATGAGCTAATTAGCATAATCAATTTTGTGCTGAATACCGTGTAACAAGATAGGTTTCTTCAAAAAGCGTGAGACACTGTGCAATAAGCAATACAGTAAAAATGCCAAGAACAAATAAAACACATTGAGGTATACAAAATCTAAACCAGCATTGAAGTCAGTGGTAAATTATGAGATATAGAATATACAGGAAAGTTGTGGTTATATCACATCATCTTAAAAAAATAAAGCAAGCGTTGCAATTATGCATTTGGTTTCCTAGCAAGGACAGGAGTGCTCATTCCAGGACAGGGTCCCGCTCTTCTAGGAACTATTCGTACAACAAAAAAAAAAACCAAACGGATCCTGCCCCTAAACAGGTTGCAGCGTAAGATAACCAGCAACACATGCAAGGAACTAATGCGAACGTATTAGTCAGCATGCAGGGCAGGCAGTGGTCTCAGGACAGGGTTCCTAACCACCATCAGATTTTTGTAGGCATCATCAAGACACATTGAAGCATGACTGGTTTTTTAGCCTGTGCTTCAATTCCAGTTAGAACTTGCTCTGTGTTTTAAGGAATGCCAAAGTCATTATTCTGGGCTGCCCTTACTCTTTTCCTTCACATTACCCATTAGCCATTGCATCATCATCTTCTGAGTGGAAGATGCACAGTATGATGCACACATCATACAAACATTCTTGGTTCCCGTCTAACTTGAGCAAGACACTTCAGAGCCAGCAACGGTGCTGCAGAAGTCCTGGAACCCTAGGGAGCCTAACGGGCTTCTCTCAATAGCAGTCTTATGTGTGTACATACCCCCTTGTCATATCAGGCCTCCACACTCTACTGAAAAACTAAAAAACTGAAACCCACTCAGGGACAACAGTTTAAGTAGCAAAAAAAAAAAAAATCAGTACTAGTCGTTTAGCTTTAAACTCAGGTTTTGAAATCCAAGCAGGACCATCCAGAGTAAGAAAGCCTCTTTAACTGGCAGCATAAGTATACACCACTGCAAATAACCCCTCTAATTTTCATCCTCTCGCTAATTAAAAAGCTTCCCATGAGAGAAAAATCTACATCCTCAAAATTGCAAGGTAGCATGGATGAGGGATGAAAAATCTACCCTCAAAATTGCAAGGTAGTACCTTCTGCAAGGTGAAGAAGAAAGGAGTTATTTCCACTATCCCCCACCCCTTTTAGTAGAACTGTAACAGCAGCTAACTATTAGCTTTGGAAAAGTATTTCTCAAACTTCTTATATGCTGCTTCAATTCCACAGATCACATTAATGTAGCTATTAAACTCTGGAGAACATATTTCCTCCCATGGTACTTAGATCTCCGTATCATAGTTTTCCTCTCGGGTAACAGTAAGGGCCCACATCAACAGAAATAGCAGATACTATAGGACATTGGTTCATCATTTTGAAAACAGAAATTACAAAGTTCTCCCACATTAGGATAAAGTTGCCTCGAAAGGAAAACGCAGGTCTGCCTTCACTCATGATGAATAGATGCTCATAATCAGACAAAGGCACAGCCCTCCACTGTAGCAGCGCTTTCAATAATCACTACTATTCACTTCTTAAAGTGTTCTTAAAGAATATATATTTTCTATCAAATGCATGGGAATACTGGGAACAAAAATAGAGGGCTAAAAAAAAGCTTGCCCTGTTACTCATTTAACAGTGCAAGGCTGAATGTCTTGCTGGAAGAGGAGGGAGATTACTGTCAACAGAAGAAGCAGGCACGAATTTTCTGAAGTTCACAGAAAGCATTCTACTAATTTACAACAAAAAAATAAAGTTAGCATGAGATTTGTTTCAAAATAATACAAAATCAAGTATAAAGACCTATTCAAACATATACTTCCAATTCATATTTGTGAAGAGTGTCAAAATAAGGGCACCATGAAGAAACACAATCATGTTAATAGATGCCATCTCATTTTCATGTGTAGCCAACATCAAATGAAACTGGTACCATACCTACGTTCACCTCTATGTATTTGTAATCTATGTATTCTAAGAGGGGAAACAAAACAAAACAACGTATACACATCATCTATAGAAAATACAAAAGCTGAATAACTTTCCAGGCAGATTTTAAACAACACAATACTTACATCCACATCTAATAAACCAGTGGGGACACTTGATTCATATCTGCTTGTCCCTAACCAGCTGGAAAAACTTTTCTCAGGGTTCCCATAGTTGGGCATTTGTAAACTTAGTTCTTTTTTTGCACTATCTGCTTGCATGTACTTCTCCACAAAACTTGGAAACTTCATATCTGAAAGAGACTGAATTGCAAAATCAAAATTAACAGTCATTCATCAGGTAAACAAAATTTTACATGGTTGCATTTCACGAATGATCTTTATTACCTCAGATTTTTGAGGCATGCCGAATGGCCCAGAAGCATCCTGTTGTAAAGGAGGCATCCCTGAGGAGTCAGTTGTAAAAGCTGTTGCAGTGTTATTTACTGAGGTGACAGAAGGATTAAAAAACTTTTCTTTAGATGTAGAAGACAGCAAGCTTGAGAAGAGGGAGCTTTTTTCAAGCCGGGATCTCTTAATTTCACCATCTGTACCATCAATATTCTCTTTTCCATTTATTTCCTGAATAAAGGCAGGTTCCTCTCTATTACATGATTGCAGGGCTTTGAATATGATACTTTGCTCTGTCGATGCACGCTTGGGCCTGACTCTGGCTATCGTTTCCAGGCTTTGCATTTTAATTTGTTGGGCCGGTAACAGATCCTGCGTTTTTTCCCTCCTCAGTCCCAAACCAAAAGTAAATACACCAGGATCAAATACTTTCTCTAAGTTGTCTTCATGAATGGGAGGCATTGCAAAATGGGGTGCTGGGGACTTGGGAAGTTTTGACCTCTTCTTTTTCTGGGGTAAACAAACCGAGCTGTCCAAGTTTTTTATTGTTTCAGCAAACTTCTTCATGTCAGATGGGGAATCAAAAATGCTATCATCTTCAGCAGATCCATTACAGGTTTTGCCTGGGCTCTTTTGTGCATTGAGGTTGTGCTCTGATATCAATACACTGTCCTGAATCCTGTCATCATACCGCACTGCTGCAAAGCTCAAATCTCCTGGCTTTGCCTTTTTATCTCCATTTTCCATCTGCTTAAATTCTGATCTAGAAACCTGATGAGATGGTAAAGGATATTTATCATCGTTGCAAGGTGATAAAACCTCTGTGTTTGGCAGCATCTTTTCTTCATTTCTGTGGAATTCTGAGCTTGTGTTATTTCTTTGGTAGGAAGTATCTTGAGTATTTCCACTTCTACTGGGCGAGTGCAAAGACAGTTTAAAAGGTGAACTTTCTTTCTTAGCAGTGGTTAATTCTGGATCGGGTTGTTTCAGAGAGACACTACTAGCATCAATTTTGCTGCTTTGGTTAAAAAGGGATATTGCAGCTTTTACTTTAAGTTCTGTTGTCTTCCCAATATCCTCATAAGAGGCAGAGCCTTCTTCATTTTTGCCTTTTAATTCTGCAGTGCTTTCTTTCTCTGGTGTGCCGTTCTCAAATAACTTCTGGCGACTGCTTTGCTTATTTAATGTTTTATCAGGCTGTTCACTTTCCTTAGGTTGTTTTCCAAATTTCAGCTTTGCTCTGCCAACAAACGTGCTTGGTACAGTACTATTTTTTGAAGCAGGGATGTCAGTGGTCCTCTGACTCTGGTTAGCGCATTTATTTTCAAACAAGGAAATTTTGTTGGCAATGTTGCTGTTAGTTTTATTAACTGGTTTTTCAAGAGTATCCTGCTCACTTTCTAAACTGTCTTGATTCGTAGGTGCTTTAAAATTCAGCTCTATGTTCTTCGGTTTGGCTGGACTACAAGAGGCAAAGCGATACAGAGTTACATCTTTGATTAATCTTGAAAAGACTTGTAACAATTTTCAAAACAATAAAATGTAGCATTATAATGAAATTTTCCATAGTCATATTCAGTTTAAATTTTGGTATCTCAAAAGGAATTAACTAATAAAGGAATAACTATATGCATGACAAAAAAAAAAAAAGACACTAAATAAGGAGAATACATTTCATACATGTACGTAGTTCTTTAATGCTTAGTAAAACAAAAAACACAGCAGCCTACAGCATCTGCAATTGAGGCAGAGAACTTAACTACTTATGACTGACAGACATTAAAATTTAATAGTGAATAGGCAGAATAAATTATATGCATGCAATTCCCTACAGAGTTTAGGAAACAAATCCCAATTCATTAAGGTGATAATGAGTTGGTTAACATTTGAATATACCTCTCCAACAAGTTTTGAAGACATCTGCCCAGATGCTTTGCAGCCCTTACACTGCAGAAGCAACCTTAAATCGAGTGAAAGACCTCTTCTGGCCTCATTAATGCTGGTAGAAAAGGTAACTGCCCCCAATCACCGCATCAACACTTGGTTAAGCGAACACCACATGTGAGGACTCTCCCATTTCCTTCAGGTAAAGTCAGCTAACAATTTAAATTGTGTAAACTAACCCTGCTGATTTTACAAGAACTGAATTAGGAAACACAGAAACTTCTCCATCAGAGTGGATAGAGAAGCGTGTACAAGCACATAGCACATAGTACTCATGTAACTATGGCAGAAGGGTCATGGCATGCAGCTGAGGGTTTTAAGCCTCCTTCCTCTGAATATCTACATCCAGGAAAAAAATCACTTGTCCACATCACTTGCTACTGCAGGAACAGCATGAACAGCTGTGAAGATGCAGGGCACGTGTCTTCAAAATTTATCAGTCAGATATAAGGAGTGTCAAGGAGCCCACCATCACCTCAAAGGCAGACCTGTTCTCCAAAGAGGAATCTGGAGACAATCTCAGCGGTGGGAGAACAGGCAGAAACTGCACTACATGAAAACTGATGATGGTAGGAGACAAAAGAAACTAGCTTGCAGCAACAATCTCCAGGGCCTCAAATGCTCTATCAATCAATGGATGATTCTGGTATTTAAGTGCTTTCTTCTTTTTTACCTGCACGAGCTGTGTTCACTGAGCTCTCAGACAGCTCTTCAGCCCAAGAAAGAAGCATGAGGTACAAGTGAGTTAACATGAACAACCCAAAAACTGAGATCACTCCTTTCTCCTCTTCCTCAAGAGATCCATCCCAAGTAAGAAAGTAAACCCTACTAAAGCAAGACTCTGCAGTGTAGAAGCTTCTCTTCTTGGGAAAAGCATGAGGAACAAACTTACTGAAATAACAGAAGGAACACAAAATCAGCTGCCTAAGAATCTATACAGAAAGCAACTGTTAAAAATCACCATGTCTTTCAGAGAAGACTTCCCGACAGTGCTCACTGTAACTACCAGCCTACTCCCGTTGGTTCACAACTGGAAGGCTCTTATGAAGAATACGTGATCATTAAAAACGGAAGTGGTAAAGTTAAAAATGACTGACCATACTTCAGATAAGTGCTAATAAAACACACTTGGAAAATATAAGTCTAGAAACAGAAAAAAATTACTTCAGAAAGGGGGAAGGCAGGGAGGGGAACTATCACACAGCATAAAATTAAATATATTTAGACATTACTTTTCATTTGCAGTACGACTGTTTTTCCTAAACTTTTCGAAGTTAAATTATTCTATGATTTTTCTTTTTGGAAAATGAATCTAAGTTGCAAGGGACCTCTAAAGGTCAGCTAGTCCAACTTCCTGCTCAAAACAGGGGCAGCTTCAAAGTCAAATCAAGTTGCTGAAGGCTTTGTCTGACCAAGTTCTGAGTATCTCCAAGGGTCGAGATTTCACAACCTTACTAGGGAAGCATTGCAGCAGGTCAGCCACTGTCACTGTTGAACTATTTTTGCTTTATACCCCATTGAAACTTCACTGTTGCAACTCGCGACCATGGCCATTGTCCTCTCACACCTCAGGGATGAATCTGGCTCTGCCTTCTCTATAATACCTCTGTAAGTAACAAGAGATGACTGAGGACTACCCATATCCTTCTCTTCTCTCAGCTGAACAAATTAAGCTGCTTCAGCTTTTCCTTATAAGTGCCATCACCTTCTTAATGGCTCACCACTAGACTCATTCCAGTTTGTGAACATCTCTCTTGTACCAGGAGAAGAGAGTTGGAAGAGGAGGGAGGGGTACAACTCGATGTAATGCCCCAAATGCAGCCTCAAGAGCACCAAATATCTTCTCTTTGACTGCTGGCTATGCTCCTGCCAACGTAGCCCAGTACAGGCTTAACCTTTATCTCCTACAAGGATGCACTACTGACACATGCCGAATTTGCTGTTCACCAGGATCCTTCATGTCCTCTTCTGATCAGAAAAAGGTACTTATCCTCTCCTTCTACTTGTATTTTCAAGAGGTATGCTAACGGCCTAGTTATCTTAATAGACTCATTTCCATATCATCCTTTTGTCAGCCTGTCACTTGCACTACTACGTGCATTTCAACATAACAACACATATCTTCCTAATAAAATCTGTCTCTCCCTGTATGCCTTGACACAAGCAAGTTTAATGGTTAACACTGATAGTTATCAGCCACGCCCAAAACCTGTTTTAAATGAACAGCTAACACCTCAAAGGTATAGTTTCAAGCTTTGCAAATTTACACTGAAACAACCACTTCAGCACTCTGTATTTTACATTCTGCAGTATTTCAGCACAGCAGCAGCCGCAGAAAAACAGCTGAGACCTAAGAGCAATAGAAAGCTCAGCCCTGGAGCTCCATCCACTACAGCTGGCCTCCTCTAACTAATCTTTTCATTACACGCTTTTTCCATACTAAGAAATACTGATTTTAAATACAGCCAGAAGATGCCTTATTGTAAGAACTGAGTTTCTCAGCTTGTTCAAAAGAAGGAGATGTTGTCTGAGTATCCTTTAAGCCTCCCCTCTACTGTGGGGGAAATGCATTGAAAGACGGATTCACTTAACAGTGCAAACGCTTTCTTACAAACACCCCGGTGTTGCTGATTCCTACTACACATTGCTGATCTGCAATGCCAGCAACAAGCAGGCACAAGAGAAATACTGATGTCCTTCTCTTTGGCTACACCTTGCAGCTAACCTGTGGAAGCAAGCAGTTAAACCTCTCCCAATATAGTCATAAATGGAAGGTGAGTCACATAATTGAAGCATACTGTCCAAACGACCATGTAAAGCATGTAACTGATGCCAAAAAACATTGGTGTCAAAACGTCAGATTGAGGTGAGCAAAAAAAAATGGCATGTTAACAGAGCAGAATAATTCAACAAGTGGGCATAAATGCAAAGCCAACTACAAAACCATGTCTGAACATCAAATATGACAACTGAAGCCAAGTTTTCCGCTAAGCACATCAAAGTAACTACTGCCTGAGGTTTTATTTGCTGATTAAGATGTACCATCAACCTCGGGTTAGTCTCAAACCTGATAGGTTTCCCTTTCAAAAGCTAGAAGCAAAGTATCCTGTGACTTCCAAGTTGCCCAGTACACAGACATAAGAGGAGAAAAGACAGAAAATGCTATCATTACTTGCAGGGAACCAGCAAAACCGACTTCTTTTAAAATTGTTTCTTAAGAAACTTGATTCCCAGAATTGGCACAATGTCATTAGTAAGAGACATTATGCATTTTTACGGGAAAACTATTTGATTATACAAAACCCATCTTGTAGGAGGCAACCGAGTTTGTGAGTAACGAGTATTTTTCAACCTGAAAGGGATTCATGTGAAGTATCTAACAATAATTTTTTAACCTTTGAAAATGGAAAAGTTATCTGTTCTCTAGTTCAAAGCAATAACAAGAGAACAAAAACACACTTTCTTCTAGTAACGGCACCATCTTTTCCTTTCCCATTCTACAGCAGCTTCATCCACGTCCAGGTTTATAGTTCATGCGTTCTGATGAATAACTACAAATTGTACCAGGTAATCTGACCGTATCAATTTGTCTGGCTAAAGAAACTGTGAGGTACTGTGCAATGACAACTATCATATGCATCAGGAACCTTGCATGCAACATGGCGGTCCCCACCCAGGGCTAAAGTTCCTACAGCAGCAGATAAGGCCAAGACACAGAGTGCCATACACCCCACAAAATCAGGTGAAATAGAACAGGCTGTTTATTCATTAAAAGTAAATCTGTCAGAAAGGATACTTGTCTATGACTTTTTTAGTACAGCAGAAGATAATTCACTGTACAGCAAGCCAAGGAGATACCAGAAAAATGAAATCCAGCTACACAAGCATTTATAACTTCACCATCACTAATGACAGTGACACAAAGGGAAAAATATGAAAGCTACCTTTCCTTTGAAGTTGTGAAGATACAAAACTTCAGAGTTTAAGATTTGTGATCTATACTGCCAGACGGCAAAGCATCACCACATACAAAAATACCAAAATTTAACTTTCAGTACTAGATGTTTTTAATTCAGTTATGAATGAACAAATCAGAAGTAGCGTATTACAAATTGTGCAAAGGAAATTGTTCCTAATGCTCCTATGCTTCTTAGATGTGGGAAGCATAATTGGAAACATATGTGTTTCTTAAGCCATTAACGTTGAACCTTCACATCCCTCTAACACAACTGAACGACAATTCTGAACACTCAGTGTACCTCGGCTGGACCTATAGGATTCAATGTACTCTGACACCTATAAATTAATGCACCAGAATGAGGAAAGCAATAGCGCATAGTACATAGCCATGACAATCTAACAACAGAAATTACGAATGTAATAAAATGAGAAGAGAACATAATAGAATCCAGGAAATCAATCGCTGGACTCATACTAGTGATTACAGTGGAAGTTATAAGTACATCTACTTCTTTGTAATCCTAAGGAAAGCACTGATCACCTCTGTTTGACAGATGACAATTTCTTTGAGTGTAAAACCAAATCCTGCAAACTAATATATGCATAATTCTGCAAAAGCCTGATGTTATTCACGTGCATAAAAATTTACATGATTCATCCTGCACATATTTATGAAAGCAACTATACGTATTCAAATTTCTGGAGTGTGATTTATCATATCATTTGAAGGATCGAGTTTATATTGCATCCTATGTTTCTTCATAAAATAATAGCAGAACTTAAGTTGTTTCAAAGAACAAACTGAACACATTCCTTATTCAAAGATTTTCACACACAAAATCTTCAACCACATCCTCAGCTGGTTACAGGCGGCAAAACTACATTAAGGTCAATGACAGCCGAGCTAATCTGAGCAACAACGGGGGCACTGACGATGATGACAGAGCAGCTTTTATGTATGTTAAATTATTCCATAAAATGGAATTGACATAGAAACAAATTCCCTATCCATAAAAAAAAGGAAAAAATAATTATTTTTCCAACACATGTAAACTACAGTGTTTGTTAAGTGGTAACTGTAATTATGATAAATTTAAAAAAAAAAAACAGTTCTTAGTTGAAAATAATTTAGGTAGATAACAGGTACATAGCTAGTGTTCCTACAGAATCCTCGAAACAGATACAGGCAAAATTACAGCTATGGGGATAAGGTAAACTAGTTTATGTTACTTACAGGCTAATCTTTGTCGTGACTGTTCTGGAAGCATCCAAACTCTTCAGCTTCAAGCTGTCTAAATCGGAATTTGTCTGTCTCTCAGCTGACGTACACAGGTCTCCATTTTTAATCCCATCAATACGTAAGAAAGCTCTTCCATCCGAACCATTACCATGCTTTACTGCCTTGGTCTCATTTCTGCCTTCAGCAAACACCAAGGCAGCGTCTTCTGTTTTATCAGCCAAAGAAACTTTGGGAGACTCCAAGCTGTCTTCCCCAAAAGCCACAGGTATAGTTCCCTTTTCCACCGAAGTTCTTTTTGTCATTGGGTTACTCTCTGGCGATGCTAAAGGTTGCCTTTTTGAGGAGTAATCTTTTACCTGACCCTTCAAACCAGTAGGGGAAATAGGGACAGCGTCCGACTGATTCTTTTTATATGATCTTCTCCTTGCAGGGGTTGTGTTTGAGATCTGCTGTCTGCCTTTGTCAGCTTCAGTTTTAGATGCCCCTTTGTGAGCAGATCCAACTTTTAGGTCCTGATTGTTACCTGGGGAAGAAGAATTCCTTTCAGGAGTCTGTTGAGGAGACTTTGCTTTTCTTTCCAAGTTTATTATCTTGTCTGAAAACACTTCAGAAGGGACATCATCCTCAAAAACAGATTCTTCTCTTGCAGTAGTCTCAGTCTGGTTTCTCTCTCCGTTTGGAATGTCACTAGACGACTGAGATTTTCTCCTTTTTCCAGATCTTTTATTAGCAGATTTTTTATCCATTGTGTCCGAGTCACTACAATTTTCTTCTGATGTAACAGTCACAGGTTCATTAAGGAGTTCGTCTGTTTTTCTTAGATAGATATCAACTGTTAACACTCTAGCAGAATGTGTGTGTTCACTCGCTGCAGATTGCAACTCGTATGGCAAATCCTTTGGTTTTGCATGCCCAGGCTCCTCAGACACCCACGTGTTCACGAGCTGCTTGTGGCTTAGGATACTCTTTTCTAAGTCTTCACTAGACAAATTTCTCAAGCTTTTTATGAAATCTGGAGTTGTGGAATTATTTATATCTGTGATGGATTCTTTCTCCGCTTCCAGGGTTTCCACATTCAGACTACTCTCAAAGAAAGAGTTTTTAATGGTTTCACTGCTGCTGCTCCAATCTGCTGACCACTCACTGTCAGAAGAGACTCCCCTACTACTCCATTCTGAAATGGTATCACGATACAGAGGCCCTACTTCCCCACTGAAATTGTATTCTTGCGTCTCAGAAACGGCATTCACGTTTCTCACTTGCTTCTGTACTTGAGGAGCTCCGTATCCTTCCTGTATGTGCCTACAGTATATTGGCTGCGCTCTGTGAGGAGAAACTGAACTCTCCCCTTTCCGATGTGAAGTGTGTTCTAGTGAACTTTTGACGTTCTTCCTTTTCCCTGTACCAAACAAATTTCCAAGTCTTTCCAAAACTGGTTTCTTTTTATTCTCTTCTCTGGAAGAATCTGCAAATTGTGAGGTGGACTATAAAAACAAACAAACAAACATTTGGTTAATGTCAAAATTGTTTCTATAATACATTTGTTTGTATTAGCACCACCTATAAATTAAAAGGACACAGTGAATGGGAACAAAACAGCTTACTGAACAACACCAGCTCTCAAAAAAGAACCAGAAAAACAAAACCCTCAAAAACCAATTAAAATCCTAAGATCCTTCTCTATGTTTTTGCCTGTGTTTGTTTACAAGTACGCTCATCTTGCTTTACAATACCAGTATTCTATGTCCCAAACCTCACACTTTTGCACAATTAGTTAATGTCACCCAAAATAATACAGGAAAGTATCCTGCTGTCTGCAAGACTGGGGACAAACTGCTTGGTCAAAATTTTCCTTACAAAAACAAGAGTGGGGAGTTTAACTTTCCTCTCCATACTGGCTGAGTTAGTTTTGACACTTGTACTGGTAGAGAATAGTTTCAAAGGCATAAGTTGTATTACAATTCATAAATTTCTTATTAATGAAGGCCAATAAATACTTGGGTTGTTTTGGGCTAGAAACCCCAGAACTGTAACTGCTTGGTCAAAATTTTCCTTACAAAAACAAGAGTGGGGAGTTTAACTTTCCTCTCCATACTGGCTGAGTTAGTTTTGACACTTGTACTGGTAGAGAATAGTTTCAAAGGCATAAGTTGTATTACAATTCATAAATTTCTTATTAATGAAGGCCAATAAATACTTGGGTTGTTTTGGGCTAGAAACCCCAGAACTGTACCAGCCACTGCATCATTCAATGAGCATTACTGGGTCAAATACTGCCCTGGATTACTCCTGGTGAAGTTCTCCCTTACAACTTCTAATTAAAATGGTAAACAGGAAACACGCAACAGCATTGCCGAGTATACACGCATATTTGCATTTTAATACATTAGCACTTTTTACATGCCGGTACGATGAATGCTTGTTTTGAGATGTCTATTTCAAAACACCGAGAGTATTTCCTACTTCGGTGGACCAGACCTCCCGAGGAGAGGCAGCACGGAGGCTGCTCCGGCGCGTTTTAAACTTGTTTTTTGCTGCAGACGCCGCGACCTCCCGCCAGCGTTCCGGCGCCTCTTCCACCGCCCAGCGCGGGCCGGGCGGCGCTGAA